GGCTTAAGGTGACTCAGCTTCTACCACCTGCTGTTATTTATGTTCTATTTGTGGGTGCAGGCATGAGTCAGTCCTTCCCAGAGCTAACCTCCTGCCTAAAGTTTGTGAGTGCTTAATATTCAAAGCTTTTTGTTATGATGAAGTGTCTACTTGATCACACAACACAAGAAACAATAAGCCATTGTTACAGTCCCCAAAGGACCTAGGATTTCTACAGAGATGCTTTTGTCTCTCCTGGGCTATCAGACTATTCAAACAATGTACCCCAAGAAGTTAGAATTCTCCCAGGAATCTTGCACTTAGAGGAGGAAAGGCTGAGATTTCAGGGGCAGCCAGAAGACAAAATTGTCCCCAGGAGAAAGACTTATGATGTATTAGACCATCTTTCAGGAGGGATTGGAGCCATAAGGGACCACAATTTGACCACAGTACATAGTTACACATACCTCACACCATAATAGTGGTCATTTCAGCTAAGACAACTTAGGGTCTTCCATTGGGATATGCAGAGAGTGGAGGTGGATAAAATAGAATATACTCCTTGGAAAGTGATTATTAACAATTTTAGCATGGATGACATCAGGTAACAGAGCATTTTAAGTTTTGCATTCTTTGAATCACAGACTACAATACATATACATAGAATTTGGTAAAAGTTATCACCATAATTATGCAAATGTTTATTTATTTATTTATTTATCTATCTATTTAATTAGCTAGTTAGTTATTTTGGAGCTAAATTTAGAATTTTTGAAAATTTTACATTTCTTGCAAATTTTTTTAATTTTATTTTATAATTTAATTTAATTTTACATATCAGCCACGGATTCCACTGTCTCACTTATCCAGAGGGCCTGATCCAGTTGGGGGCTCCTCAACTATTGGTTCATAATTCACATGTTTCCACTAGTTTTTCTATTTGAGCTCCGGCAGTCCAATTGGTGAGAAAGAGGAGGGATTGTATGAGCAAGAATTGTTGAGACCATGATTGGAAAAAGCACGTTTTTTTTTAAAGCAGTATCAATGACCATTAACAAGTTTTCCGTGGCCTGATACACAAGTACAACCCAGTTACATAATAGCTCCATTTAATCAGTTATAAAAATAGGTATTAAAACAATTTCAGCCCAAATGACAATTTAAATAATCCTTAACTCTATTAAAGTTCTGAAAATTATAACAAAAAAATGTTAAACATCTATTACAATAGAACATAAATACTTCAAATTTGGGGTTTTGTTTAGAAAACTTTTCAATAAATAGATCATTTTCTAAGAATGTCAATTTGCTTTGAATGTAAAGAATAGGAAAAAATTACTGGATGGTGGTGGTGGTGGTGGTGGTGGTGGTGGTGGTGGTGGTGGTGCACACCTTTAATCCCAGCTCTAGGGAGGCAGAGGCAGGCAGATCTCTCTGAGTTCAAGGCCAGCCTGATTTACAGACAGAGTTCCAGGACAGGCTCTAAAACTACACAGCAAAAACCCTGCCTCAAATATCCAAAATAAAAAAAGAATGGGAAAAAATGTATAAATAACCTTTTGATTATAAACAACCTAACACATATAAATTTACTCCTACATGCTTTCTTCTCTATAAGTCTCCTGTTGCATAACTGTGTAAAACTTCTGTATTAGTGAGTTTTATTATTCATTATTATTATTATATTAACATTTTTATTATTATTATTAAATTTTCTATTCATCTTACATACCAACCACAGATTCCCCCTCCCTCCCCCCAACCCCTAACCCTTCCCCCAACCCACCTCCCATTCTCACCTCCTCCAAATCAAGGTCTCCCATGGGGAGTCAGCAGAGCCTGGTACATTCAGTTGAGGCAGGTCCAAGCCCCTCCACCCTGCACCAAGGCTGCGCAAGATGTCACAAGGCTGTGCAAGGTGTCACAACTTAGGAACTGGGCTCCAATAAGCCCACTCATGCACCAGGGACAGATCCTGATCCCCCTGCCGGGGGTTGGGGGGGGAGCGCCTAAACAGTTCAAGTTAAATAACTGTCTTGCCTATCCAGAGGGCCATTCCAATCCCATGGAGGATCCACAGCTATTGGTCCACAATTCATGGGTTTCAACTACTGTGGCTGGTCATCTCTGTACATTTTCCCATTGTGATCTCAATGTCCTTGCTTATAGAATTCCTCCTCTCTCTCATCGATTGAACTCTTATATATATGCTATTATTCCTCTTTAAGCCATCCATTTATCTTCTTTTATTTTTAACTTGAGATAAATAAGTGAAAAACAAATACAATTTTGTCAGGGACAAGGATAGAATCTCTAGTTAGTGAAAAAAAAATACAGACCCCCATAAGATTATCTTACAATCAGGTTGCGTAGCAACAGGACATTGAGTCAGAGCCCTTGACCCTTTCACCCTGTAAACATCCTATACAGACATCCTGTTAGCTTGCCCCACCTTATGCAGATGACAGCTTCTTGCTCCCCCCACCCTGCAGGAACTATATAAACCCTCCTGGAGAAAAATAAAGTGGCACCTTGATCAGAATCTTGACTTGGTGTATTTCCTTTGTGTCTCCTGTCCCTACATTCCATCCTAAGGGTGGTCGAGTACCCGTTAAAGCCCTGCTGGCCAGGGCAACTGGTGCCCAACGTGGATGAAACCACCTCTTGAGGATTCGGAACGTCGTCTCCCAGATGAAAGAACAAGGCCTTGGTGAAGTTGTTGGATCCCCCTGAAATCACCCAATTCAGGACACGATCCCAGAGGAGAGTGGAGACAACGCAGACAAGAAAGTGACGAGCCATGGGACAGGCAACTTCGTCACAAGATTTATTCCTTTCTGGCCTAAAAGAGGCCCTCAAGATACGAGGAACTAGGGTAAAGAAAAAAGATCTTAAAGCCTTATTTGATTATATTATAGACACATGTTCTTGGTTCCCCCAAGGAGGAACCATAGATGAAAAAGGTTGGGCACGCCTCGGAGACTGTTTAGATGATTGCTACAGGACTTTTGGACTAGGGAAGGTTCCCATTGTTAGTTATTTAGCTGCATTGTGTTCTTACCCTGCAAGGAAACGTCACGAAACACGACAGAATCCGCTTATAGAGTTTATTAGAGATAAAGGGACAGAGAGTGCACAGGCCTGTGGGAGAGACATGTGCGTGGAGAAGAGAAAGAGGAGAGAAGAGAGAACCGGAAATATGGTGCTCCGCTTTAAAAACCGGCTGGGGGCGTGGCCAGGTCACGTCACTACTCCACGCGTGTGCGTAGATCACATGGTCACGTTGCGCGCTTACGTAACCATGTAACGTCACGGATTCTGGTCACGCGAGATGCCTTGGCCGGAACTTGCTAGGCGGAGGTGTCCGGCCTGACCGGAATTGGCTAGGCGGAAGTGTCC